GTTTTGGCACCCTCCCAGGTACTGTTGGCAGCGGTGGTGGAAATTCTAGCACCCAAGGTGAATCTGAGAGTGCCATTGAAAGGTCCAGTGGTCCTAGCATTGTAAAGGCTCAGCTTGTAGATTTTGGCACCTTCCCAGGTACTGTTGGCAGCACTAATGGCAGTGGTGGTGGAAATTCTAGCACCCAAGGTGAATCTGAGAGTGCCATTGAAAGGTCCAGTGGTCCCAGCATTGTAAAGGCTCAGCTTGTAGGTTTTGGCACCCTCCCAGGTACTGTTGGCAGCACCAATGGCAGTAGTGGTGGAAATTCTAGCACCCAAGGTGAATCTGAGAGTGCCATTGAAAGGTCCAGTGGTCCCAGCATTGTAAAGGCTCAGCTTGTAGGTTTTGGCACCCTCCCAGGTACTGTTGGCAGCACTAATGGCAGTGGTGGTGGAAATTCTAGCACCCAAGGTGAATCTGAGAGTGCCATTGAAAGGTCCAGTGGTCCCAGCATTGTAAAGGCTCAGCTTGTAGGTTTTGGCACCCTCCCAGATACTGTTGGCAGCACTAATGGCAACGGTGGTGGAAACTCTATGTCCCAAGGAGGTAAATCTGAGAGCAGTATTGAAAGGTCTAGTGGTCCCAGCATTGTGAAAGCTCAGCTGGTAGGGGTTGGCACCCTCCCAAGTACTGTTGGCAGCAGTAGTGGCAGTGGTGGTGGAAATTATAGCACCCTCTCAGACACTAATGAAAGCAATGAGGGAAACTCTAGCTCCCATATAGGCAGATCTGAAAGCAGCATTGGAAGGGCCAGTGGGCTCACCATTGTGAAAACACAGCTGATGGGTGTTGGCACCCTCCCGAGCATTGGTGGCAGCAATGGGGAAAATTCCAGTTCTCATGAAGGTGCATCCGAAAGCAGTATTGCAAAGGCCCAGTTGGTAAGTATTGACACCTTCACAGGAAGTGGTGGCAGCGGTGGGGAAGTTCTAGCTCCCATGGACGGGGATCTTAAAGCACCATTGGAAGGTACCGAAGTCCCAGCATTGTGAAACCCCAGCTGGTAGGCGCTGGCACCCTCCCAATTACTGGTGACAGTAGCAGTAAATGGTCTAGCACCTGCGGATGTGGACATCAAAGCACCTTTAGAAGGTACAACGGTTCCAACATTATATATGTACAACTGGCAGGTACAGGAATCCTAGTACAGGTAGCAACAGTATGGGAAGTCATAGCTCCCACAGCAATGGATCTCGCAGAGGCTATGACAGGTCCTGTAGGTCAAACACTGTCTTGGCGTCAGCACCATTGGCAGATGCGACAGAGGAGATTAACATGACGGAGTCCACAGTGGCAAGAAGCTCTTGGGGCACTAGTACTGTCTGCATCTGGCTGGCTGGTGTTTGCAGACTTCTTGAAGGTGGAGGCATTGGGTATGGCTCCAGTGCTGTTGCTACCAGTGAGGAATATGCTTACTTAAACAATAGTCTAGTCACTTTATGGGTACTACTGTAAGTTATAGACATTCTGTACATTCAATAAAATGAAAATTGAAACCGATTTATTTAGTTGTCCTTAAGAATAATCTTTGTTTATCATTCATCCATGCAAAACATGTTAGAGAATGGTTCTGTCATGACTAACATTAGTGAATCTACGTGAACCTTGGATTCAATCTAGATTGATAATATTGATATGCTCAAAATGGTGTAGCAAAAAAATATTAATAATAATAATAACAATAATAATAATAATGAAATAAAAATAAATAAATAAAAGGCACTGGTTTAACACCCTGAAACGGCCACTTCAATTATATTTCTATCTTACTTACCATCATGATAGTCCTGTTGCAAATTAATAACCCTTTGGCAGCATACTGTACCTGTCACAATGAAACTGTATCATTTATCGATGGACTTTATAACCTATGCCGAGTACATATTACTTCGTTACAATTATATGCAAATACCTAATGTTTGAAGAAAGAGCTGTAGAGTTCGCCCAGGGTGACGAAAGTGCTGTGTCATCATGATGTCGCTGTTTCAAACCCACTCGATAATAAACATCGCAAAAAGAAAAGAAAAAAAAGAAAATAAAGGAAAAGCAATATGCAAAATCTGAAAAAGTGTTTCTTGATAGATGGCGAATTGCAGCAAAATTTAATTAACAGAAAAGTAGATGATGATACAAGAAAAGCAATATGCAAAATCTGAAAAAAGTGTTTCTTGATAGATGGCGAATTGCAGCAAAATCGAAATATATATGTTGACTGTTTGTGGCATTTTATGTGAGATTAAACACAAGAGGTATGATGACAACAAATATATACATTTAATAAAATAAATGTGATTATAAAATAATAGATCATTACAATCACTATTATCATTACTGTTATCATCAATTTCATCACTTATTTATTGCAATAACCATTTTCGGCATTCACTCAATATTTGTTTTTGTTTTTCAATCATTTCAAGAATTCGACATCTTTATCAGAGCCACTTTTACTTCACTAAAGGGACAATCATCATAATATTACTCAATATTATTTACGGCTTTAGCATTGGTATTGATATTACTATTATATTACTACTACGACTATTATCCCTACTAGTGCTACGACCACCGCAACCTTTTCACCATCATATCTATTCACCATCATTCCTATTCACCATCATATCTATTTACCATCATTCCTACTCACCATCATATCTATTCACCATCATTCCTATTCACCATCATTCCAATTCACCATCATTCATATTTACCATCATTCCTACTCACCATCATTCCTACTCACCATCATTCCTACTCACCATCAGATCTATTCACCATCATATCTATTCACCATCATTCCTACTCACCATCATTCACTCACCATCATTCTACTCACCATCATATCTATTCACCATCATTCATATTTACCATCATTCCTACTCACCATCATTCCTACTCACCATCATTCCTACTCACCATCAGATCTATTCACCATCATTCCTATTCACCAATATTCCTATTAATCATCACTCTTACTCAACATCATGCAAGTGCTTCTATAAGTACATCAAGAAGTCAAACTTGCAAGTCTTCATCAGTGAAATTGTCATAAATTTGGAAAGATATTCATAAATTCAAAAATAAGAATCCAGGATGAAGTGTCGGTGTTTTTTTTTTTTTTGTTTGTTTGTTTTTTTTTTTTTTTTTTTTTGCCATCTTTGTCTCAACCATTCGCATGCCATTATTATCATTATATAATAATAATGATGATCGAAGCATCATATTATTTCATTCTGATTTACCATTACTCTTGTTTATTCTTCCCAATCATTATTTTCATTTTTATTGTTATTGTTATTTTGCTTTATTATTATTACTGTAATTATCAGTAGTAGTAGTTGTAGTAGTAGAGCCATTATAATCTTCAATGTCATCATTATTATCCTCATCATTATCATTATTATCATTGTTATTTTCATTATTATCAGCCTCATGTAGTTTTGGATCATTATTATCCTCATCTTTATCATCATTATCATCGTTATTATTTTCATTATCGTTATCAGTCATTATCGTCAAGAGTTACATATATGAATCTATAAATCCCCACACACAAGCACAAACACACAACCACACACACACACACACACATATGCACACACACACACATACATACACACATGCACATACCCATACCTGCCTGTAAATATACCTATGGGTGTGTATAAACTGTAGATCTATACATGTGTCTATGAATCTACTTACACACACACACATGCACATACCCATACCCACCTGTAAATATACCTATGTGTGTGTATATACTGTAGATCTATACATGTGTTTATGAATCTATTTGCACATCTGCTTATTCCATTATATGTATCCATCTAATATAAGTATAATAATCTATAATCGATATTTGTTTGTTTATAAATACATCTAAATGAATTTATGTATATGATTTTCGGTTTATGTCCGCGTGTCATATCTATTATTATTGCTGTTGTTTCGCTGATTCTCTTTCTGTTGTTCTTGCTATTATCCTTGCAAGCAATAACTTTTTATTATTACAACCTTTTCCAAAATTTCCTACTTCAAAAGGTGTTGGTGATTAAATCCGGACTTTAAATTCGATTGTTTTTCGTTTATTTACATGTAGCTAATGAATACACAAAGTTCGTTGATGACAGAAAGTCTTACCAACCACTGCCACCGCCGTATCCACCACCGGCACTGGAACCGTGGCCGCCGCCCCCTCCTGAGGGAAGGCTGCCAACACCAACCAGCTGTGCCTGGACAACGCTGGCACCGCTGGATCTGCCATGGCCGCCTCGAGAGCCACCTCCGCCGGAGCCATAACCTCCTGAGCCTCCGCCACCACCTCCGCCAGTGCTGGGAAGAGTGCCAACTCCAACCAGCTCAGCTCGGACAATGCTGGCACCGCTGGATCTGCCATGGCCGCCTCGAGAGCCACCTCCGTGGGAGCCATAACCTCCTGAGCCTCCACCTCCTCCTCCACCAGTGCTGGGAAGAGTGCCAACTCCGACCAGCTGTGCTTTCACCACTCTGCCGCCTCTGCCTCCTCCGCCTCCATGGCCACCGCCCTCCACCGCCTCCTCCATATCCTCCACCTCCGCCTCCATGGCTTCCACCACAGCAACCGCCAGGAGCAGCAGCTGCCACGCTCAACGCAGCCACGAATGACACTAAAATCTGTTTAGAAAATACATAATTACTTGCCTTTACTGCCTTCCACTCTGTAAGGAAAACGCGCTTAGCATCTGAATCTTTATATTCCCTTTGTTTAGCTGCATTCCATTTTTTTATTATTATTATTCTCTCTATCTCTTTTTCTTAAGGGAGTGATTTTTTTTAAAATGAAATTTTATCCAAAGAACATTTGCAGTAGAATTGTCTTACAGCAAGATAATACTCACAATTGTCCTCATGTTGCGAGGCTTTCCCAGCACCAGGAGATGACTGATAATGTCTTTCCTCTCGCTTCTATTTATACAGACACTGACCTTCCCTCCCCCTACGGCGTTGAGATGCCAGTTACTCTTTTCTCGAGCTGCGCATTGCCAAGGGGACATCAGAGTTCCAAACATATCTTCCTTCTTTTATTTAAGTATCGAAGGTCTCAATGGCATTCGAATATTTGTAAGATTTCGCAAGACAGTTGCTTTGGAGCGAATAAGTTTTGATATTTCAGAAATAATTTCCGATTATCAACGCAATAAGAATCAGGTGTAATATGTTAATCCTTCACCTTGACAATGATGGGGAGAATTGTGATGGCAAAGATGATAACAACAATGATGCGAGAAGTAATAGCAAGGTTGTTGGAAACAGAAATAATGATAATGATTATAGGAATAGATAATGTTGCTAACACAATTATAGATAACTGTAATGATAATACATACTATACATACACACACACACATATATATACATACATATACATATATATATGTATATATATATACATATACATATATATATATATATATATATATATATATATATATATATATATATATATATGTGTGTGTGTGTGTGTGTGTGTGTGTGTGTGTGTGTGTGTGTGTGTGTGTGTGTGTGTGTGTGTATGGACCATGGACATCCTTTGCCCCAGGATCACAATAATATCAAGCGAAAGAAACCGAAGTTCACGGCATAAGTTCATTGTAAAAGAGACAAGATTTGTGAATCGATCTTTGTGTGAAGATCTCGACTCTAGAAACGCGGGATGTCAAAGAATTACCGAAAGAGGTATATATGAGATTGCATATAGGAAGTATTTGACGTTTCGTAAGAATCTGTATCGAAATATAATAGTAGTGACAAACATCGATAAATGTTCATCTTTCTTTAAGTAGTAGTAGTAGTAGTAGTAGTAGTAGTAGCAGTTAAGATAAATATGTATTGAGGAAATAGTATAGTGTATTAGAAGACACAAAACTATTTAAAAAGTGAAAACAGATGTCACTTCAGCAGCAGTGATATCCTACCAAAACAATGACTTGCACATCTGACGTCACACGGTTATTTAAAAGCTTTTCTAATTGTATTATCCTCGTACGCTGAATGATATTGCATAATCTATTTCATAAGTTTCATCAATTGATATTCTTGCCATATAGTATTATATATTGCAATTTAAACTGTCATTACATATGATTTCATAGTTGTATACCGTATCATAGACACATTTTCCTTGGACAAATTAAGAGATACATATGTAACGCAAGTACAAACAGTTCTCCTAAAAGTAAAGATGATTACGAGAAAAAAGAATAAATGCATGAATGAAAGGGCATAAAGAGTCGTTTGATTAAATAACATATCTATGAAGCAATCAATCAAATCATCAAACAGTCAATTGAAAGATGAATAAACGGGGAAGGTCTTACCTCCAGGAAACGAAGTTCTTTAAACCAGTAAATAGTATTATCACTCGACCAGAAATTAACGAAGGATGTCTCAGTGCACTTTCTTAAGAGCTGCTTGAGTCAAAGTCTTTATTCCAAGGAACAAAAGTCATGGAAACTATGACTATATTTAGAAAGTATGTGCTACAGTTATGAATGGAAAAACTTAGGTATATAATAACGACAATGATGACCAAAAAAACTGTAGTTCATATACATATACATGTGTGTGCGTTTAAATAATATATATAAATAATAATATATATATATATATATATATATATATATATATATATATATATATATATATATATATATATATATATATATATATATATATATATATATATATATATATATATATATATATATATATATTGCGTGTGTATGTGTGTATATAATATATATATATATATATATATATATATATATATATATATATATATATATATATATATATATATACATATATATATATATATATATATATATATATATATATATATATATATATATATAATATATGTGTGTGTGTATATATTTCATATATATATACATGCATATATATATGTATGTATAATCATATATACATATATATAAATGTATATATGTAAATACACGTATATATAAGTATCTATCTATCTATATTTATATATTTGTATATATATGAATTTGTACATATGCATATGTTTATAAATATATTTGTATATACATACATTTATATACACATATGCATGTTTATGTATACATATTCATACATGAATATATGTATATACAAACATATATGCATGCATATAGATGAGCACATATCTACATACATACAAGTATTTAAGTATGAAGACAGAGATGCGTGAATATACGTATAAATATATGTATACATAGATACTCATATACAGCATATATCATCATGTACATTACATACCTATACATATAAGCGTATAAACACTTTCATACTTCATCGTATTATTAATATATATTTTTTTCTTTCTTTCTTTCTTTCTTTTTTTTTTTTTTTTTTCTTTTTTTCATCTTATCCCGTGCACCTTGATAAGACTTTAGAACCACATTTTTGACTAGAAAAATAACAATGACATATTATCAGCAAACAAGATTAGAGATATTCGCTATTCAAAAATAATAAAGACTATCTGACGCGAAGGATGTTCTGATGACCTCTAGACGATGCGCAGATAAGAGTAAGTGGCATCCTTGCACCGACGGAGAGGGAAGGACAGTGCCAGTATAAATAGAAGCGCAGAAGATGACACAATCAGTCATCTCCTGCTGCTGGGAAAGCCTCGCAACATGAGGACCATTGTGAGTATTCCTCTACAACAGATATGTACTCGAAGTACGAAATAAATCTGTATAAATTGAGATGGAGATACAGCAAGGCGCATGCATTTTATTTTTATTCATCAACTTAGTGTACGTAATCTTTTTATGTGTTAATTGAATACTGTGTTCTCTGAACAGATTTTAGTGTCATTCGTGGCTGCGTTAAGCGTGGCAGCTGCTGCTCCTGACGGTTGCTGTGGTGGAAGCCATGGAGGCGGAGGTCACGGAGGTGGAGGATATGGAGGAGGCGGCCATGGAGGCGGAGGAGGCAGAGGCGGCAGAGTGGTGAAAGCACAGCTGGTCGGAGTTGGCACTCTTCCCAGCACTGGAGGAGGAGGCGGTGGAGGCTCAGGAGGTTATGGCTCCCACGGAGGTGGCTCTCGAGGCGGCCACGGCAGATCCAGCGGTGCCAGTATTGTCCGAGCTGAGCTGGTTGGAGTTGGCACTCTTCCCAGCACTGGCGGAGGAGGAGGAGGAGGTTATGGCTCCCACGGAGGTGGCTCTCGAGGCGGCCATGGCAGATCCAGCGGTGCCAGTGTTGTCCAGGCACAGCTGGTTGGTGTTGGCAGCCTTCCCTCAGGCGGGGGCGGCGGCCACGGTTCCAATTCCATTTCCACCGGTGGTGGATACGGCGGTGGCAGTGGTTGGTAATCTTTTTTTCATGTAAGTTTGCGAAGAACTTGCACAACACAAAACGCATTTATTTACTATTTGCGAATAAACTATTGAATAACCATTTCTGAGTTTCATGTCTGTTCCAGTAGTTAAAGCAGGTAAATTTGAACATAGGAATGGTGACAAATAATGATAACTTTGCTGATGATACAGATGATTATAATGATAAAGCAGTTGTTACTTAATTGAAAGATAGGTTACAGTCAACCAGAAAAACATTACATTACGAGTGAGAAATAAGTAATGTTTATTGAAGTTAATAATTATGACGATGGTAATGATAATAAGCATAATGGAGTTAATGTTAAGGAAAGAATAATGATAACAGTGGTAGTAGTTATAGCAGTAATGACAAAGGTAGTTTGGATGCTAATATTATTGACGATGAGAATGATTTTGATAATGGTAAAAATAAAACATAGCTCTCTGTTGTAACTCCTATTATTTTTAATGATGCATTAAAAATAATAACCAGAAAGAATACATCCATAATGATAATTCAAAGACTCCCCTTACTCGAATTAAAAAAAAAACAATTCACAATACATCCATAATGATAATAAAATTTTTAAAATCACATCCGAAGGGACACTTTTCGTACTATGACGTCCTCAGCAGCATCATTGTACATCAAACTCGCAATATATTACATGTGCGAAACGTCGTGTATATGCTTATATAAATAAATAAACATAATAACATATGTGTGTGTATGTCGATTCCAGTAAAGGCAGGACATCAATAAATTATTTAAAAGGACATATGTGAGAGTGAAAAACCTTGTATAGCATGTATATAGAAATCCAGTTCAAAGTTGAATAGAATTATTACAACAGTGATTGCAATGACATTAAATGTTCATCACTCTTAAAGTAAAAGTACTGCTGAGAATAAAAAGAGAAAAACATATGTATACTGCATACTGAGCAAGTAATATATACATAGTGTACTAGAAGATACAAAATTCTTCAGAAAGTTAAAATAGATGTCACTTCAATACGGGATCAGCAGCAGTGAAGTGTCATGTCACATAGACATGATTTCCTATCAAAACAATGATTGGTACTTCTGACGTCACTCGGCTATTTCAAAATATTTTATAAATGTATTGTGTTGGCATACTGAGAAGCACTGCATATTTTTCATTTTCGCGATTTCGAAAATAGTAACATATGATACAATTTATATTGCGTAACAGAGTAAGCTGTACATCTTAATATGCTTACTTATTGTATTCTAAACCCTATCGTATCGCATTTACGTATTTATAAATATCAAATATACATATTTTCTCTTGGGAAAACTGTTTCACCAAAATTAATGATCATACGAAAGATGAATGAATCCACGAAAGAAAGGACAAAAAAAAAAAAAAAAAAAAATGCTAGATGCATAACAAGCAATCAACCAATCAATCAAAACATCAACTGAATGATGAATGAATGATGGAAGCCTTACCTTCAGGTAGAATATTCTTTAAACCACTAAACAGTATCGTCACCCGACCAGAAATTAATGTGTTTGCGCGTGTGTGTATGTGTATACATAGAGACGGATAGATTAACGTA